TGCCCATACGTGGGCTAACAGGATGCATTTGTCAAAACCTTGGGAAATTTACTTTTTGCCAGTGAATCTCCCAGAATCCTCCCTCCAGCCAAAAGAGCTAACGCCCCTGGTAACCAGGACAATTCTGGGATCTTTAGTCCTAAAGGTAATTCTTCCAAGTTCTGTCCCTGGGCTGTAGGATCAGATTTGCTATTCTGTACCTCCAGACTGAGCTCTTCCCCGAGTTTACACTGTGAGTAAGGAAAAACCTTTTGGAATGGCCTCTGTTATGGAAGCCACTCCAAAATTCAACACAGTCTTTAGAAAGACAACTTTTGATCCACTATGCTATGAATAAACAACTCACCAGATGCAAAGCAACAGCACCTTCACACACACCAGCCCCAGATCCATACAAACCAACATATCCACCTAAAGAAACCAGCAGATGGATAGGGTACTACTGCAATCAGTGCTGGACTAGAGCTTGAGATACTGATATTTAAGTCCCCACTGAATAAGAGAACTCACAGGGCGAACTTGCACTGCTTTTTTTTTGTTGCAAATAAATAAATAAATTCTCTCCTACTTATCTCTCTAGGCATCAGGAAGTGAGAATTCCAAGACCAGTCTAACTCAAGGTCACCTCTCAGGTCAAGTTGTTGGTGAAAGATCTGTGGCATGCCACCCCTATTATAAGCTGTGCTATACTATCTAAACAGTAGTCCATCTAGCTTAATACAGTACGACCCTGAGGTTTTGGAGAACCATATTGGTGTTTTTTTCCATGTCAGGAGCAACTTGAAAAATTCGCTTCTGGTGTGAGAGAATTGGCCATCTCCAAGGACTTTGCCCAGGGTACACCCAGATGTTTTGATGTTTTACCATCCCATGGGAGACGTCTCTCATGTCTCCGCATCGGAGGCATGAGCTGGAGCTGACAGAGGGAGCTCATCTGTGCTCTCCCCGGATTTGATCCTCTGACTTGCCAGTCTTCAGTCCTGCCAGCACAACAGTTTAACCCAATGTGCCACCGGGGGCTCCACCATATTGTTGAATTATGGTGTAAATGCACATTTGGTGTGATATGTTTTTACTCTATATAGTTAAGTACCATATATGTAAATTGACATCATGTATAACCGTTTATTTGGGGTCAAGGTTATGGATTTAAACATGACCTGTGGATAAGATGACCTGGGGAGAGGCGAAAACATCAATACTGGCTCCTTCCAAGAATCCCTACCCTCACCCCTGCATCCCTGAAATGGGGGATAATTGCAAACTATTTTGATTATACTTGAGCCAGAAACAACAAATAATAGAACTAGAGGACCACAAACACTTCCAGGAGGAATAGCTTGGGGGACATGGATATGTGAATCCGTGGATACTGAATCTGTGGATAAGAAGATCAGATTGTCCAGTGCTATCATTAACGAATGACACTAGTTCTATTCCATTCAGCCAGAATAAATAGTGGTTTTTCCTACTGACTGTGCTTGCACCTTTAATGGTCTGAGAAAAGAGAATCAAGTGGTGATTGAGATCAGAAAAGCACGTATTGTTGTTTATTCATTCAGTCATTTCTGACTCTTCACAACCTCATTGACCAACCCACACCAGAGCTGTCTAAAAAACTGCAAATCCAAAAACTTGCTAAGGAAGAAAGAAAATTAAGAAATGGTTGCCGAAGGCACCTGGGTCCATGTTTGACACAGCAGCAGAGGAACTGATATTCTTCATGCCTCAGCCACTTGGGAAATGCCCTCTTTCTTCAGGTAAAGGCTTCCAGTTTCCTAACCTTGCCACCCACTTACTTCATAATAAGAGCCAAAACCCTCAGGTAACAGAGGAGAAATCTAGGGCACCTATCAAAGCCACAGAGAGAGCAAAGGATTTGAGTTGCCCTCCCTCTTCTCGAGTAACAATGTTTACAACTCACCCAGCGCCAGCGCTGGCAGCTTCCTACAAAAACATCATAGCAGCTTTACCACTCCCCTCTTGCCTAGTAAGGAAAATGGGGTGGCAGATGTGGGGTAGGCAAGCCAATGAGGGCAGGAAAAAACTGATCTTATAGGATCAAGTCAGGAAGAGGCTGCATACCAGCATGGGAAAAAGATGCATTGCCTGGCTGTCCCTTCCACAGTATACAATACCTCTGGCTCTACTAGGAAAAAAAAGACAGAGCCCACTACTGTCTTTTTTTACCTGGTACAAAAGTCACCCACTCCCCAAAACAAACCCAACACCAAAAGCATTTTGACAGCATTTCAAGAAAGCCATGGCTAAGGGAAAAGGTGCTCCATGCAGTTATGCCAACCACATGACCTTGGAGGTGTCTACAGACAATGCTGGCTCTTCAGCTTAGAAATGGAGATAAGCACCAACCCCCAGAGTCTGACACAACTGGACATAACGTCAGGGGGAAACCTTTACCTTTACCTAAGGGAAAAGGAAAAGCTTCAAGGATATTGTGGAGGCTCCTTTTGAATTCAAACCTGTTGCTGCATGACAGCCCCCCTCAAGTGGAAATCACATACAAGGGAAGATTGCAAGGTGACAGCTCCTAAAATAATGCACAAAAATACAAGTGGCAGGACCTTAGAAAGAGTACCTAAGGAAAGATTCTGTGCTATCAACCACACTAGTGTTGAGGACCCTTCAACCATGGGGTGCGGTCAGCATCTTTGCCCACCAGTGAGCATAACTGTGGGTGGGTGCCAAGGCATGGAATAGCAACAGCTGCATACCAACCTGGACCTATGCATGGAGCTGGCAAAAGTCATGATAGTGGGAGGCAGAACCAACCCCAGGCACAAAATAAACACAGGTGTGTGGAGCAAATAATATCCAGATATGTTGTCTATGGCTTTCATGGCCAGAATCACTGGGTTGCCATGAGTTTTCTGGTCTGTATGGCCATGTTCCAGACATCAGGAAAGAATGCTTCTGGAACATGGCCATGCAGCCTGGAAAATTCACAGCAGCCCAATATCCAGATAATAAACACTTTACTTGTGGCATAGAGAGCATTCTGAGTCCAGGGTGAACCCTTTGTCCATGGAAGGAAGGTAGGTATCCTATCCCACCTGGAGGCAACAGATCTTAGAAGCTAAGGGGATTTGGGGGCCCCGATTAGTACTTGGGTGGGAGACCACTAATTGATACTGGGTGCTGTAGGCTATATTTCAGAGGAAGGAAGTGGCAAAACAGTATCCTGAGTCTTCCCTTACCTAAGCATATGTGTGGCCATAAGTCAACAGGCAACTTGAAAGCACAGACATGCTGAAAACCACCCATTCAGCCCTATAGGGCATGCACAAGACGACCTGATCTTGGAAGCTAAACAGGGCCAGCCCTGGTTAGTCCTGGGGTGGGAGACCACTATTTGATACAGGCTGCTGTAGGGTATATTTCAGAGGAAGGAAGTGGAAAAACAGTATCTGCATCTTCATTTATCCAAGTGTATGGTTGGCCATAAGTCAACAGGCAACTTGAAAGCACAGGCTTGCTAAAATCACCCACCCAGCCCTATGGAGCATGCATAAGGCGATCTTCTCTTGGAAGCTAAACGGGGCCAGCCCTGGTTAGTCCTGGGGTGGGAGACCACTATTCGATACAGGCTGCTGTAGGGTATATTTCAGAGGAAGGAAGTGGAAAAACAGTATCTGCGTCTTCCTTTATCCAAGTGTATGGTTGGCCATAAGTCAACAGGCAACTTGAAAGCACAGTCTTGCTAAAATCACCCACCCAGACCTATGGGCCATGCACAAGGCGATCTGATCTTGGAAGCTAAACGGGGCCAGCCCTGGTTAATCCTGGAGTGGGAGACTACTATTGGATACAGGCTGCTGTAGGTTATATTTCAGAGGAAGGAAGTGGCAAAACAGTGCCTGAGTCTTCCTTTATCTAAGTGTATGGTTGTCCATAAGTCAACAACAACTTGAAAGCATGGGCATGCCAAAACCACCCACCCAGCCCTATGGGGCATGCCCAAGGTGAGCCGATCTTGGAAGCTAAACAGGGCCAGCCCTGGTTAGTCCTGGAGTGGGAGACCACTGTTTGATACAGGCTGCTGTAGGTTATATTTCAGAGGAAGAAAGTGGAAAAACGGTGTCTGAGTCTTCCCTTACCTAAGCAAACCCTGTGCATATGGTTGACCATAAGTCAACAGGCAACTTGAAAACACAGGCATGCTTAACCTCCCCCCCCCCCCAAGCCCTATAGGGCATGCACAAGGAAACTAAACAGGGACAGCCCTGGTTAGTCCTGGTTAGTCCTGCAGTAGGCTATATTTCAGAGGGAAAAAAGTGGCAAAACAGTATCTGAGTCTCCCCTTACCTAAGCATAAGTCAACAGGCGACTTGAAAGCACGGGCACCCACCCAGCCCTTTGGGGCATGCACAAGGCGAGCCGATCTTGGAAGCTAAACAGGGCCAGCCCTGGTTAGTACTGGGGTGGGAGACCACTATTTGATACCAAGTGCTGCAGGTTATATTTCAGAGGAAAAAAAGTGGCAAAACAGTATCTGAGTCTTCTATTATCTAAGCGTATGGTTGGCCATAAGTCAACAGGCGACTTGAAAGCACGGGCATGCTAAAACCACCCACCCAGCCCTTTGGGGCATGCACAAGGCGACCTGAACTTGGAAGCTACCTGGCTCTAGTACTGAGGTGGGAGAAGAGATGCTGGAGGCTATATTTCAGAGGCAGGGATATCTCTGGTGTCCATCAATCAACAGGCATCGACTGGAAAGCGCAGGCACCCTAAGCCCACCTTGAGGCTCGTCTGCCCAAGAGTGTTGATGCCTCACCAAACGGCAACAGCCTTGAGCCATGGCCGTTCAAGTGGAATCCATCCAACTCCTATAATTCTGTAATGTAGACGCACCCGCCTTCCCCAGCTCCTGCCCAGAGGATCCCAAGGCGGGTGGCGTTGGGAGCCCGGAGGGGCCCTCCTGACCCCAGGGGCCCCCTCCCCCCGATCGGCGTGGCTTTCCCCCTTCTCCCGCTCCTCACCTTTCTCCTGGAGGGGCGTGTGGAGGAGCTCCTCCTGCCTGACCTGGGTGATGATGGCCCCGCCGTCCATGAGCCCGGGGTCCCCGGGGCCGCCCCTCCTCTGGGTCCTTCTCCGCCAGTCCTCCTCCCAGCGCCGCCGCTTTGGGGGGTGTTTTCCCCCCAAGAGTTCGCGGATTTGGGTCGCAATGGTGGTTAAGAGGAGAGGGGGGAAGAAGGGGGGGATTGAAAAAAGGGGGGAAAGGGGAGGAAGAAAGGGGCGGGGGAGAGGAGAGGGGGGAACAAAACAAAAAAGGGAGGGGGAAGAAAAAAAAGACAGCGGCGGAGGAAACTTTGTTACAACATGGAGTTCCCTCTTCACGGTTTCTGATACAAACATGGAGCCCAGGCGCGGTTTCAAGCTCCCCCTTAAAAGGGCGATGGCTCCGGGAAGGACACCCTGGGCCCCCATCCCCACTGACATTTTAGCACAGTTTCAAAGCGGGATGGAAGAAATGATTCCAGAGGAAATCCTGGAACCAGCTTGAAGCCCTGACGGTGCTTACACGAGCCACAGAAGATTGGTGTGCATTCAGGGCTTCCTTTTGCGCGCTTGTTGCCTAGCCTAGTTTCGAATTGCAATAAATGGTCAGTGTAGATGGGGGGGGGGGTTGTCTTTCAGGGTGGGGTGGGTTTTGGGTCGACGTTTTTGGCAGTCTCCCCAAAGCAGACCTTGCTCTCCATCGCCCCTCTTCCGCCTCCCGCGATCCTCGCTTCTGGTTGTTTCCATTCGGGGCTCCATCTTTCCGGGAGGGGTGGGCTTTGGGTCGACGTTTTTGGCGGTCTCCCCAAAGTGGGCCATCCTTCCGTCGCCCCTCTTCCGCTTTATGGGTCCACGCCTGTTTACATTCCGCTTTTGGTCAGCTCCTAAACGGCGGGAGGGAGAGGCCGGCTGTTGAACGACAAGAGAGGGAGACGCTTTTGCTTCTGCAAGACAGAATTAATACAGTTTGATCCCACTTGAACTGCCTATGGAATGCTGCAATGTGTAGTTTCGTGAGACACCAGCCCTCCCTGGCAGAGAAAGCTGAAGACCTTGTCAAACTACCACTCTGGGGAGTCCATCACAGTCAAAGCAAACTACTGTTGATTTGGGTTGCTGTGAGTTTTCCAGGCTGTGTGGCCATGTTCCAGAAGCATTCTCTCCTGATGTTTCGCTCACATCTATAGCAGGCATCTTTAGAGGTTGATTTTACAGATGCACTAGGAAGACTATCCACACTGCAGAATGTCAAAGTTTGGACATGACTTGAACTGCCAGGGCTCCATTCTATGGGATTTTGGCATTTGTAGTTTACTGTGGTGCCAGCGCTCTCTGACAGGGAAGGGTAAATGTCTCAGGAAACTACAAATCTCAGAATTCCACAGCACTGAGCCAGGTCAGCTAAAGAGGTGTCCAACTGCTCCCATTCCGCCCTGGTCCATTCTAATGCATTCTTGGTCCCTCTCCTGTCTATCTGGCAAACTTGGGCCCTCCAGGTGTTTTGGACTTCAATTCTCACCATTCCTAACAGCCTCCGGCTCCTTCCTTTCCCCCCTCAGCCACTTAAGTACTAAGCAGATCTGATCTTGCTTAGCTTCCAAGATCAGAAGGGACTGGAAAGGTTATTATAACCGGCATGTGTGTATGTGTGCTATAATTTTCCTATTTTGGTTTTCTCCAATGCACTTTTAATTGTTATCCTAACGGTTTTGAAATGTAATCTGCTTGATTTTGTATTTCAAATTGTGTTCTGAACTGTCTTTGGCCCTTTCATTAGGAGAAGGGCTGGATAATAAATAAACAGATAAAATGCTTCATCTTCCACAATAGATCCCCAAAGAGGAGGAATGTCAGTCTGCCAGGAAACAGGCATTTCGTTGGCTGTGTGACACTTTGGGAGCTTTTGCCAAAGTATCAATTATATATTCTGTCCCTCTCTACATCTCATCCCAATGGAAAGTTCAAGCTTCAACTCTGCCACTGGCACTTTCACAACCTACAGACAGCAGTGGAAGAAAATCTTGATTGCATGCCATGAATTTACTGGTCTTTTGAGACTCATGGTGGTGAGAAATTTGATCATCCATACACAGCTATATCTGATGTGGAAATAGAGCTATAGGACAGAGGGAGATTTTAAATCAGGTGCAAAGTGAACCAAGAGATTTCTCTCCTTTTAGGGCGGCTCTTAAAACACCTCAGCGTCTTTGTAAAATTTTCGTGTGCAGGCATTCTCCTAATTACAAACAAGATAGGTTGTGTAGGTTTGTTCTGAAGCTGAATTTGCATGTAAGTCAAAACAGGTACATCTTTTAAATGCAACTCTAACCAAAAATATATATAGTTGAACTTTGGATCACATAGGGAAGGGTAAACACCTCTGTGGTGTTTATTTTTCTGCCTGTGCCCCTGTTCAGAAGATTTCACCTCTCTTTCTGTCCCTGTGAGAATTGGATTTTGAAAAAAAAAACCTGGCTTGTTGTGGAAACAAGGATTGTTGTGTGTGTGTGTGTGTGTGTGTGTCAGGAGCGACTTGAGAAACTGCAAATTGCTTCTGGTAAAAGAGAACTGGCCATCTGCAAGGACATTGCCCAGGAGACGCCTGGATGTTTCGATGTTTTACCATCCTTGTGGGAGGCTACTCTCATATCCCCACATAGGGAGCCAGAGCTGACAGAGGGAGCTCATCCGCGCTCTCCCTGGATTCGAACCAGATTGATGATAAAGCTTCAGTAGAGACCCCTTTCCCCCATGATGATGCTGATGATGATGATGATGATAATCTTTATTTATAACTCGCCACCATCTCCCCAAAGGGGACTCGGGGTGACTAACATGAGGCCAGGCCCAAAATAATACAACATAATAAACACATAATAACAAAATACATCATAACAAAATATGAAATAACAAATAAAATCAACAATATAAAGCAGCATAATAAAATCAGACACAGAGGGTGGGCCAAATGAGGTAAAATGTTAAAAAGTTAAGACCCTAGGTGAGATAGGGATGAAACTGCATTTGTAAGAGAGGGGCCCGACAGGGAGGATCAGTGGGATTTAGCCATTTTAGGGGCAGGGAAGGTGCTTTATTCTGAGGGCAGCTGTAGGTTAAAACAACCAGATGGGTTCAGTGGTCATTCTCCGAAGGCACATCGGAAGAGCCAGGTTTTTAGGTCTTTCTTAAAAGCAGCTAGGGTGGCTCCAAAAGCAGGGGGCTACAGTGGAAAAGGCTCTCTTCCTTATTCCCATAAGATGAATCTGTGATAGAGGAAGGGGCAAGAGAAGGGCCACTTCAGAGGATCGAAGAGATTGTGCAGGTTTGTGATAGGAGACGCGGTCACAAAGGTAGGTGGGTCCCAAACCGTTCAGGGCTTTGTAGGTAATAACCTGCACCTCTTCCAGGAATGAATTTCCCTTCCAAGGGGTAGATTTCTCTCATGTCCTGTTGTCTCTTCTCTGTTCTTAACTGTGAGTCATTTGTAAGTCAGATGTTTGTAACTCGGGGGCTGCCTGTGTATGCAAATGCATGGCTGCAAACAAGATGTGTCCACAGAGCCACAACTGAGTCTCTGGCTCCCTTTTAAAGACTCTTTCTCAAAGTGTCAACTTAGGGTGACCCCATGAACCTCATTGGGTTTTCTTAAGCAAGGAATATTCAAAGGTGGTTTTGCCAGTTTCATCCTCTGAAATAATAGCCTATAGCGCTTGGTATTCACTTGTAGTCTCCCATCCAAATACTGGCCAGACCTGATGATGCTGGGCTTCCACAATCAGGCAGGTGACTTCAGATAGCAGCAGAGTGACCTTGTGCAGTTCTCTGGGTTCACATCTGAATCACATCTGAATGTATGCATTTATGTCCCCCTTTCCTTTCTCCAAGAGGCTCAAGGTACAATTTTATTTTCCTATTACTGCAAAGTCAGTCAAGCTAGGCCTGAGGAGATTTAGTCTGAAATCCTTGCTCACTGGGTTATCTTGGTTCTGCCTAACATACCTCATAAACTTTTTGTGAGAATTAAATTTGTGCTCCTTGGAGAGCTTTAAGCAGCACACTGATTGAGTTGTGGCAGCTATTGGCTTGCATTAGCTGTCAGAAATTTTCCTTTGCTGAGAAGTGAGGGAATAATGTGGTTAGAGACCTGTGGCTGCCTGCCCAGCTGAGCTGTAACAGAGACAGCAGGTAAAGCACTACTAGACACTCAGTTTCCTCTTTAGTATCCGGGTCAGTAACTATAGCATTCATATAGCTAGATTCATCAAGCCATTATTAATATAATTAGATTTTAAAGTATTTATTAATAACACTAGCTGTGGCCAACCTTCCCTCCCTCTTTCTCTTCTTTCTTTCTCTCCTTCCTTCCCTCCCTCTTTCCTGCCTTCCTTCCCTTTTTTCTTTCTTTCTCTCCTTCCTTCCTTCTCTTCTTCTTCCCTCCCATCCCCTCATCTTTCCTTTCCTTTCCTCTTTCTCCCCTTTCTTCCTTCTCTACCTATTCTTGGACTACAACTCCCAGCAATCGTCCTGATCAATCTACAAATCTACCTACCTATCTCTATCTAATCTACCTTGAGGATTACTGGGAGCTGCAGTCCAGGAATAGAAAATTGGAAATATGCAGGGATCGGGCTGTTCTCAAAGAAATCCAAGGAGAAGAAAGCTTTCAGCTTGGAAGCAGTGCATTTGGATCATCCTCCTCTCCTAAAGGGCCTGGTCTAGGAGATGCTGGGAGCTGTAGTCCAGAAGAAAGAGTGAATATGCTATTGTGTGCTTTGTTTGCTAGGGGGAGTAGTTTTTGCACATGTGCTGTAGCGTCTTTTTGCTTTTTTGGCCTTTTAAGTCCCTTCCACTGTGTTTTTTGTGTTTTATGAGTGATAGTCACTTGTTGGCCTGATAGGTGTATCATGTCCAAATTTGGTGTCAATTCGTCCAGTGGTTTTTGAGTTATGTTGATCCCACAAATGAACATTACATTTTTATTTATATAGATTGGCAAATACTAATATTAAAGTGTTGTTGAAGGCTTTCATGGCCTCACAACCTCTGAGGATAGATGCAGGTGAAACATCAGGAGAGAATGCTTTCTGGAACATGGCCATACAACCTGGAAAACTTACAACAACTCACTAATATTAAAGGATAAAAGCATAAGGGTCCAACTTGCCAGATAATGAGAACTGTAATTAGAGCCCCCAGTGGCACAGCAGGTTAAATCACTGAGCTGCTGAACTTGCTGACCTAAAGATTGACAGTTGAAATCCAGGAGCAGGGTGAGCTCCCACTGTTAGCCCCAGCTTCTGCCAATCTAGCAGCTCCAAAACATACAAATGTGAGTAGATCAATAGGTACCACTCTGGCAGGGAGGTAACGGCACTCTATGCAGTCATGCTGACCACATGACCTTGGAGGCTTCTATGGACAATGGCAGCTCTTTGGCTTAGAAATGGAGATGAGTACCACCCCCCAGGGTCGGACATGAGTGGACGGGGAAAGCTTTATCTTTTATATTTAAATTAACAAAATCAAACCTCACTACCCTTCCTACACAGGACCATAGCACTGCAGTCTATGGAAGATGCTCAATGCCCAG